GAAAAGAAAAGGTTAGAAGCGTTCGAAATGTGGTGTTATAGGCGGATGATGAGGATATCGTGGGTAGAAAAGGTTAGAAATGAAGAGGTATTGGAAAGAATAGGAGAACAGAGGACTCTCTGGAAGTCAATAAAAAATAGGCGAGATAGATTGGTAGGACACCTTCTTGGGCATGAAGGTGGTCTAGTTAGAGACATATTAAATGCAGAAACAGGAGTTAGGAGGAGTAGAGGTAGACCTAGATTAGATTACTGTTCGCAAATAGTTAAGGATGTGAAATGTTTCAGTTTTAGGGAAATGCGAAAATTAGCTCAGAATATGAAGGAGTGGAGGTGCGCGTCCAGTCTTAGGATTGACGACCTTATCATGATGACAATAGAATAAAAATCAGTACACAATTTATATCTAGGTCTTTTCTCTTAAATACATAATTGAATTAGCTTATATTTGATGAAAGTTATCCAAAATGAGAAATTTAAATAAAATACAAAATAAACTTTGACAAATATTTGTGGGGCCTTTCTTGGTGTCAAATTTCAATATTGAGGAGCAATCGATAATACAGTAAGTTTTGAATAATAAGTACCTAAGTCATTACCAAAACACATGTGAATGCGATTTCTTTAAATGAAAACACATGTTCGGAAGTTTAGAAGTGTACAATAAGTTTACCTTTTTAAAAATGAATTTAAGGTCGTAACCAGACCAAACGATCCTTAACAATCCGTCATCGTCATTACATTCTCCCGAAATGTTGGCGTTCACCGGAAAGTAGGCATCATCCCTGTCGTTTCCTATGGGAGATTTGAAATGTACCTGAAAATGTAAAAGATAATCAATTTTTTATAAGTAGGAGTATAGATAGAAAATGTAATTATTGTATTGTAAGCATAAATGTAGTTGTAGATAGTAAATGGGACTAAAATAATTTACTGAAGATTTTTAATTTGGATCGATTTTCCAAATAAAATATTTCCAATTTTTTCTGGTTATGCTGTAAATAATCACCAAATCTAATATTAGTGGTAATATGTTGATATTTGGAAATATTAACAATAACAAACTATAGCTTGCAAATCTAACAATTAAGTATTACAAATTTTTGCGATACACAACCGAACCTAACCTAACCTAAGCTGTTGTAGAGGTAGTTCAAAATCTCACGAACCTTGACCTCGGTTTACGCAGTAACAAAGCTGCAACCCTTTATTGATTCACTTATTTGATAATTTAATAGTTTCACCACTTATTGTTGGGTTACTTCCCCCTTTACAAACTCTGATTTGAAATAGCATTCGAAATAATGTAGATTTAATAAAGTTGTAAATTAAGTAAGGTCAAAATCATGTCATTTAACGATAAATTTCGTCTTTGGTTGAATAATGTTGTGGGTATTGAATTATAGAGGACAAAGAAGTTGCTATGATCTTAATCCTATTATTTGCCAGATTTTTGCTTTTGCTGATCCCTGGTGGTTTATATTTTCAATTTTCTTGATGCTGACACAGTATTCGTAAGTGTCGATACGATTCCACAGCGAACGGTAGAACATAAGGAAGTATGAAAATTTACATCTATTCGCTAGATAATGATTTTAAAGTCAGATTCATACATAACGCATGATGGTGAATACATACATATTTTAGACATTCATCCATTTATGTATGCCGTCAGATACATAAAGTGATCCGTACCTCTATCATAGCATCAGCTCTAAAGAGAATGCATGTTGATCCGTCGCTCTCCTTGACGCTATACTGCACGTAGTCAGATGTGACCTTTATGTTCGTTCCATTTCCCGATGCAGTTGTTGGAGGTTTTGGATGTTTCGGTTTCGATGTTACAGCATTTGGCAGGTCAATTGGAGACACGGTTGAAATTGCTGCTGCACCTAGCCAAATAAAATACAAATTTGGAAATTCATGCCGGCAAAGTATATAAGTCGGACATTCTATAGAATGCCCAGACACTCTATTAGGATTTCGTTGTCATTTATGCAATGTTTAAAGTACTTTTCTTTCGTAGTCTAGAAATTCTACATAATGCCAGCATGAGACCGGACAATCTATAAAACGAAAGACAAAAACTCTTCTACAGTGATATACTGACCTATACTCATGCTTGATGTTGCATATCTGAATTAGTTTATTAAAATCCACATCGGTTACCTGATACTAGAGGTTAACTGTTAGCGTAAACACCCTGAATCACACTTAATCTAATGTAACATTTAAACAATTAATAAGCAAAAAGAATTCAAAACAAAAACTATACTGATGCTTGTAATTACCAGCAGATTGAGTGCGGTGTTGCTGATCGTATCCTTTACCAGGGAGGAAATTGTACTTACCTGTATTTTCAATTGCGTTTTTCTCGTTTTATTATTTTGCAGGAGGTGCTAGCTCAGCGCTTATTTCTATTGCACCCTGTATATATACATGTATACATAATATTGAGTTGTTAGTCAGTAATTTATCGACAATACCACACATAAATCGCTATTTCTAACTTATTAGTTCTCGTCAGCACATCATAGGTTTCTGACATTACGTGGAACATCTGAGCATCATACAGAAGATGGGATTATATTCATTGTCATTAACAATCATATGCAAGACCAATTTTTTGTTAATGAAAGCAAATCTACATTCTGATTCAATTTTATGCAAACCGCTTATTTCGTAAATATTAAAAAAGTAGCCGATCAACAATAATTTCTCTTTACTTTAAAATTAAATTCAGTTTTTTGGTCAATCCTTTCAATCTCTGTTAATTTTTTGAACTGTAAAAACCTTATCAAAAGTTTTGAATGGGTACAATTTATATTTTAAAATTTATTATTATTACTACTTGTTTCAAAACTTAGAAGGTTTCTCATTTTTTTTTGTTCATTAAACAACATGACAGTTCCTATAAAATACTAAATTGTAAGAGGTGGAACTACAATAAGAATTTCAAACAGAGTAGAACGCTTAAATATACCATATGTAATACTTCTCATTTGGCTTCTAAATAGAATGAATTTTAACCAAAATTATGTACAGTTTTATGTATGGTGTTAATTAACGGCACTGTAATTTCAAAACTTTTAGAATTCAAATGACTTGAAACATGACAGAATTTCACTCGTATCAAGATTTCTTGCATAATATTGTTTTGTTTTGATTTTTTTTAATGTTCTATGTATCTCTGTAAGAAAAATTTAATACCTACTTATCAAATTACTCAGTTTTCCCCGTCTTTTTGGAAAACTATTAAAGGTAGAAATTCGAAACAAAACATACTTTCGTATTTTTCAATTATTAAGTGTAGTATCAAAATGGATTGATTAGAATGAGGGTGAATTAAAAAGTATACTTTCTTCCTGTTCGTTTCTGAAACTGCTGAAAATAAAATTATGAACAAAAAATAAGTAACGGTACTGGAGCCTACCCATTTTGCGAGCAAAAATTTTGATAGTTTTTGAGAAATTTATAATGTCGTCAATTAAATTGTTTTATATGGATATATGAATGAAAAATCACAACAAGAAACCTGTGCATTTGATTTTTTTCTCTATTTAAGACCAGAATTTATAGGCAATTATTTTGGACGTTACGGAAATTTATTTCCAAACCCTGTTTTGACCTTTCCCTTGTAACTAGGTACATAATACATTTTCGTCGCTTTGTGAAAAATGTGTGAACACCCACGTCCTTTCACCTCGTACGCGAAAGAGCAAAGGTAACGAACATTAAAAGGCCGACTCGCGATTCATACGTCCAAGTGGGAAACTTTAATCGGAGCAAGTAACATGCAAATTGTCGTGCGCGGATACTTACAAAGGATTAAAAAATGTCGGAAATTGCCCATGGTGTTGGTCCTGTTGCTTTTTCTCAATCAACGTTTCGTCACTTATTGTCAAAGGAGCACCGTTCCACAGTACCATTGGTCACATCTGATCCGACTGAATGAATTACCTACTTTCGGCGCACACAATTCCGCCCCATCAATAATGGAGAGCAAGCGCCTTGACGCCCGCCGTCTCGGGGGTGGCTAAAAACGCACACTAGCACTTCCTGTGTGTAGGCAGATGTATATGTATATGGATAAATAGATTCTCGCCTTCGAGCTCTCAATGAAGTTTCCGATTCCCGAATTTGCTCAATTTTTTTTTATTTTTTTTTTTATTTAATATTTTGTTTGTAAACCTAAATATAGAATCGAGACAGGTTTACGTTAATATTGAGAAAAACGTCTTCTTTTGAAAAAAAAAACTGTGATAATGGTCTAAGATTTTTGAGTTGAATTTATTGGAAATTGAGTTCGGGCAAAAGAAAAATTAATCAATCATCTTAAGGTTATCAGTCCGAAGACCTATTGGACCCATCTCCACCTACTTACAACCTGTGCCAATTTTCGTATTTCTTTAAAACTGGAATACCCTATACCTCTAATAGTAATCAAATCTGATGGGTCTAGGTTTACCTTTGCCCCTCTTTCCTACTGATCGTGCTTCTAATAAATTTTTAATTGAGCCTTCCTGTTTCTGAAGGAGTCCGAACAAGGGCGTCGCCAGCTAAGGGGTCAGGGGGGAGAGCAAGAAAATAAAAATTATAGGTACAAATCAATACAATTCTTCTGTTTTCGTTAAAACAACTTTCTTGGATTTTTTGTAAATTATTGAATGAGTAATAATAAGTAATAATAATTTATAATATTTATAGTAAACAACCCTTAACGACTGATACTCCCAACTTAATGATTGCAATGTCGATGGTGAAATTGTATTGAATAAAGAAAGAAGTAAAATAAAATTGAAAAAAAATCAAAATTCTATCAAAAATTATGAAATCTTTATTTATTATTTGAATTTTAACATTTATTAGTTAAATTTTGTTTCATTACCATTTTTTTTTTTTAGTTTTAGAAAATCAAATTTGCAGATGTTTCGTTCAGTTACTCATTTAAACTTTGTTCAGGAATTTTGCACATAATTAATTTTACGAGACATATATGTAAAATTTGATTTGGTGCAGCTGTTAAAAATTAGCAGCAAAAGAAAATAAACACTAGCTATAAAAAATTAGATGAAAGATAAAGAAAGTTAATGAATTTTAAGTGCGTGATTTTTGACTTTTGAAATAAATTTTTAATTTTTCGATTTTATTTTATTTGTTTTTTTTCATTATCACCCTGTATGCAACTCCTAAACCCTGTTAGGCTATTAGTAAATATCTAAATAAATAAATGAGTCAGAGGGATTAGCGCGGTCCAACACTTCCACCAGTCTATTATCATCATCATATTAAGGCCGTCAGTCCTAAGACTAGNTTGGGCTTTCTAGTTTCGTTTATTGAACTTTGTATCATTGATTGTCACCATCCTTGGGCTGTTGACTTTCTTTTCTTGAACTCTGTATCATTGATTATGACTATGCTTGGGCAGTCAAGTTTATTTTTTTGAACTTTGTTTCATTGGTTGTGACCACCCTTGGGCTTTCAAGTTTCGTTTATTGAACTCTGTATCATGCATTGTCACCACTTTTGGGCTGTCGACTTTCTTTTGTTGAACTCTGTATCGTTGATTATGACTATGTTTGGACAGTCAAGTTTATTTTTTTGAACTCTGTATCATTGATTGTGACTATCCTTGGGCTATCAAGTTTCGTTTATTGAACTTTGTGTCACTGACTATGACCAACCTTGGACTGTCAAGTTTCTTTTCTTTAACTCTGTATCATTGATTGTCACCATCCTTGGGCTGTTGACTTTCTTTTCTTGAACTCTGTATTATTGATGTTTGGGCAGTCAAGTTCATTTTTTTGAACTCTGTGTCATTGATTGTGACCACACTTGGGCTTTCAAGTTTCGTTTATTGAACTCTGTATCATTGATTGTCACCATCCTTGGGCTGTCGACTTTCTTTTTTTGAACTCTGTAT